GCAGACCAGGCAGGGGCAGAGGCCTGTAGAGAGAGGCTGACAACAACCCACGGAACGGGGATGGGGGACCCAGGAGGAGACTGCACGGCAGGAGTCCACACCGTCACTGAGGAAAATCACCAGAGACAGCTCCAGTCCTGCCCGCGAGTCCACCCTGGCGGCCAGTGATAACTGCTCCCGTGGTGGACACACACGGCTTTAACACTGAAGCGCCCTTGTATTTCCTCTCTAGTCCATGCCTAAGACTTCAGAAAACCCAAGGACCTGCGCAACCCTATTTCAATAGAATGACTTCCCTGCGTCCATGGAAAACCTGCGACTCTTAAGCCTCACTGAACAGAGGTGGCCCCAGGAAGAGCCAGGTGACACACAGCCTAAGCAAAGGGGGAAATTAAGCACCTGTGCTGCAGAACTCTCCAGACCATCGAAGCCGAGAGGGATTGAGGCTACAAGACCCCTTCTCCACCCTCCTTGCCATCGGCGAAGGACAAGAGCAGTCTGTGGTGCCTTCCGGGTGGTCCTGTCCCCTTAACCTGGAGCCCAGGCTGGCCTCTCAACTCCCTGGACCAGTGTGGCCAGTGAGTTCCAGAGCCCACCATGCCCTCTGGGAGATGAGAGACCACTGGGGCAGGTGCGTTATAGTGCCCCAGCCACAGTGTCCCTGGCCATCTGGCCCTTACCCACCGTCAGGACAGCACTAGAATGCACTAGAATCCAAGAGCAGCTCCATGAAACAGCCCAGATGGAGTCTCGAGGCCCCTTTTCTAGGTGACGGAGGGACTGACGGACTGCTAGAAGCTACAGCGACACACAACACGTTAACACTCAACAGGCACAAAACGGCCCTGTTTTTAATGTTTTTTGCATTTAGAGATTTTAAAATATTACTTCTGTCGCTGTCGGAGGTCAGTCCTTGCTTTCCTCTCAGCTCCCTCCGTCTCCTACCAGGCAGCTGGCTGTCACACACATATCTGTGTGACTGTTGAAGGGGAGCCGTGTCAGACACACGGACCATGAACGGTGGCTGGGCGGTCCGAGTCTGATCCCTCCTATGTCTGTGCCGAGACCGTTTTCTAGATGGATGAG